AAGCGAGTACTCTACTAAATCTGTGAGTGGCTCATCATCACAGGCACCTCCATGCAGTGAATGCAGAACATTTTGCCAATCCTCATTTTCCCCCCTAAAACTCTAAGCTCCCAGTTATAGACCGGTCCTTGTCAGTTTAGTCTCTAAGTTTCTCTTTAAATGAAAGTTTAAGAAACTCGGGTGGGTCACTGTGGATTTACCATGTGTTGCAGATGGAACCCACACATTTCTCTAATCTGCAACCAAATGTGCAGGAAAATCCAGTTTACAGTCATCATGAATTCAATCCATGCAGATTATTTCAGTCTCACTAGGACCAAACACGTGCAAATCTCTGTGATGCAACACAAAGAGATGGCCTAGTATGGTAGCGTACTTTAGAGAGCATTTGACGTTTACAGCTCACTCACAAATTGCTTGCATTGTTTGCATCTTTTTGCATCTTCTCCAATGAAGACTAATCTACTTCCTACCTGTGCAATGTGAGCTCAAACCTCTGTCCCCTACCTGATGCTGGAGATGAGCTGTCGATGTTCGTCAGTGGTGAGTATGTCCGGCAGGACAGAAGCTAACCACTCAACTTTCTTCTCTGCGGCGTACTGCTTCAGCACAGCAAAGAGTCTCTCTTTCACTTCGGGATCGTCACCTAAAATCTGGTCGACCTGTTGGAGATTCAAAAGAGGGTAGCTTCTGGTAGAGAGGAGGGTAGTCAGTAAAAGAGGAAAAGCTACGACCTCACTGTTTTTAGCATAGTACCAAACAGAAGTATTTATTTTTGTGTATATTTTATGCTGTAATTTTCATTTCTCTTGTTATTATTTAACCAAAAAGCAGCGTATGAAAAACTAGTACACCCCATGATTCAGTAGCTTGTAGAACCACCTTTAGTAGCAATAAGTTGAAGTAATCATTTACTGTATGATTATCGTTGTGGCATTCATTCATGCATAGCTCTGTTAACTACAGCACTTTTCAGCCAAGATTTTGTAGAGTAAGGGAGATCATTGTTTTTTTGCATGACCCAGTTTGAGACAAGTTTTAGGTGCTGGACAGATGGCCTCACCTTTGACTCTAGAACACTTGTGCTATACAAAGTTCATGGTTGACTCAGTGATTGCAAAGTACGTAGGTCCTGTAGCTGCAAAATAGGCCCAAATCATCACCTGTCCATCACCGTGTTTTGCAGTTGGTATGTGGTGTTTGTACCAATATGTTGTGTTTGTGACGCTATACATTATAGCCAGACATCTCCACTTTGGTCTCTTCTGTCCAAAGCACATTTTTCCAGAAGTCTTATGGTTTGTTGCAGGAGTACTGACAGGGACAAGAAAGCAAGCCTTCAGCTTTCAGGCCAGTCTTCTGTGGAACCAGCTCCAAGTTTGGATTCAGGAGACAGACACAGTCTCTGCTACCAGACCCCTGTCATCAACGAGTGCCCAGTGGAGAGAGTGGACAGCTTCAAATACCTCGGAGTTCACATCACGCAGGACCTGTCATGGTCCTGTCACATCAACACCGTGGTGAAAAAGGCCCGACAGCGTCTCTACCACCTCAGACGCTTGAGAGACTTCCAACTGCCCTCCAAGGTGCTCAGGAACTTTTACTCGTGCACCATAGAGAGCATCCTGGCGGGAAACATCTTAACCTGGTTCGGGAACAGCACCATGCAGGACAGACGAGCTCTACAGAGGGTTGTGCGGTCAGCTGAGCGCACCATCCGCTCCGAGCTCCCTGACCTGCACTCAATCTACAGCAGGCGGTGCTGGACCAAGGCCAGGAAGATCGTGAAGGACCTCAGCCATCCCAACAACAGACTGTTCTCTCTGTTGAGGTCAGGAAAGCGATTCCGCTCCCTGAAGACCAACACAGAGAGACTGAGGAGGAGCTTCTTCCCGCAGGCGATACGGTCTCTCAATCACACCACCACACAGTACTGACCCACACATATGGTTCTTACACACACTGGACATTCTGGACTTTGTTTCACTTCATTACTTAAATCACGCTGCTGTTATTGTGTATATGCTGCTGTTATTGTGTATATATTTATTTATATTTCTTCATACATTCTTATATAGTTCTATATTGTGTATTTTGTTGTACAGTTATTTTATTTTCAACTTTAATTTATATATTTTATCTTATTCTCCCAGTTAAATTTACCCTTCATTCTAATTTGTGTTGTACAGTTATTTCATTTTTAACCTTAATTTATATTTTATTCCTTCCTAGTTAAATTTACCCTTTTTAATTTTTCATATTTATTTCCTATCTTATTCATAGTCTTTTCCTTTTTTGTTCTCTTTAGGTCACGAGCAGTTGTCCAAGCATTTCACTACATATCGTACTGTGTATGACTGTGTACGTGACAAATAAAATTTGAATTTGAATTTGAATTTGCTTTTAAGATTAGGTTTGAAACATAGTTAGACTTTGATCATAAACCCTCCCTTAGTTATACTGCAGTAAGCCTAGGCTACTGCAGGCTTCACTGGGTGTTTCTTCTTCACTCACCTTTTTCACTCACTCTGTGTTTATACACTTCTTTGCATTTAATTACTAGTTACTATGAAGTTCTGGCTCTTTTCCACAATGTGTCTTTTGTCCTGACTCCCTCCACTGAACCCCAACTGGTGCTGGGAGATTTTCCTGTTAAATGGAAGTTTTTCCTTCCCACTGTTGCCAAGTGCTTGCTTATAGGGGAATCAGATTGTTGGAGTTTTCTCTGTATTATTGTGGGGTCTTTACCTTACAATGTAAAGCTTCTTGAGGCAACTGTTGTTGAGATTTGGCGCTAAAGTGAAATTGAATTCAAATGCAACTTTGCAAACTTAAACCATGCTGCCATGTTCTTTTTAGAGACAAGAGGTTTACTCCTCGCAACCCTTCCAAACAAGTCACATTTGTTCAGTCTTAAGTTTAAGATTTAACATGATAAGTGAACCCCGAAGAGTCTGAGATTCCTCTGACCTTGGGGTAAATTTACTGGGATGTCCAATCCTGGGAACTGGCAACTGTCCTGAATGTTCTGTACTTTTGAACAATCTTTCTCGCTGTAGAATTATGTACTTCAAATGCAATGGCCTTATAACCCCTCACAGACTAATGGGTAGCAGCAATTTCTTCTGTTGAGCACTACATTTCACACAACTAGAGCATTCAGGTGTGTTATAACAGACAAGCTACCAAATCTTTTGCTTTTATAGAGGTGTTCATTCTTGCTGATGACTATTTACATCTTTATACTTAGTGAAGCAGTAGAGTACTTAGTTTTTCACACACTGATTCTGGATTTTGTCTTTGTTTTTCTTATACTAATAACAGCATGGTGTAATATTTTATGTGCTGCCTTTTTATTTTAAGTTATGTTTAAATAATTTGATAACCTGGTACAAACCAGAATAATATTTTCATAGTGACCTGACACATAAAGCCTTCAAATTGAAAGAGGGTGTGTTTTCTTTTCCACATGACTGTAAACAGAACGTTGTTGAATTTTGAGTGATTTTATAGAGTTACTATCTGGCCTGTCATAAGAAGGTGGATAACTATAGACTTTCATTCATTCTGGTCTCAAAAACATGTCGACATTCTACATTCGATTACATTAAATATTCATGAAATAGGCACTAAAAACACATACAACTTAAAATTTAAAAAACAAACATTGTTACATGACATCCCCGACCTCATCTGAAGTGTGTACAATTGATTAGTATATATATAAAATGTTGGCAAGTATATAAAAGTAATCCCTTTTAACCCAAAGCTCATATTCTGTTGAGCACCAGGCTTCTCTGATCTTTGACTGTCTAAAGCACTCTGATGATACAAATTTCTTTATATGGTTATCTGCAGTAAGTACACAATATACAGACAGTACAGCTCAGAAGCACTGGGTGCTGCCCTTCATGTGGCTTCTGGAGGTTGGCCAATCATAAGAAAGACAGGTTTTAGTAAGGGAAGCCTTGAAAATAAAGGCGCTTGTTTCAGACACGGGACAAATTGAGGGACTGTAGGATAAATAAGGATTTTATTTTAACCATGAATCATGCAAAATTATTCCAGTAGAGGCACAGAAGAAATAAACAGCAACCATAATAGGTCCTTAAATTCATATAAGGTTTTGCAAAACTCTGCTTGGTGCACAGAAATACTTATTTATTTTTTTGTCAAATAAGCCCTGCCCTCTCCAAAACAGTTGCATGGGAACAAAAAAAACAGCTTAGGCAGAGAATGTTGTCTTTAATTAGAAAATACCTTTTAATGCGAAACCTACCTTCCTGTTGAACTCCAGAGCCTTGTGTTTGCGGTCCAGTCTCGCCCCCTCTCCACCCATCTGACTGTCCTCTATGCTGATGCTCCATTTGTGCCTTGGCCCAAGGCACAGCACTCCCAGGCGGAGTGTCCTCCCCTGGGATGCCTTGATTAGTGCCGCAGCCATCTCGTGCTGCCTGACTGGGATACCGTTCACTTCCATGACATAATCCCCAGCCCTCAGGCCTGCACGGCCAGCTGGAGAACAAGGAGAGCAGTCCTCCACCAGTAGGGGGCAGTCTCCCACAATGGTAAACCCAAAACGACCATCTGGACCTGGCGTGATGTCCATCTGTACGAGATATTTGCCTCAGTGTTTGACCACAGAACATATCCCCCAACAGGTATCCACAATAGTGCAGATCTACTGCTTACTATATTATGACATGCATTTCCACACCCATTAACCTACGCATGCAGTATAGATCTGAAGGATTTGAGAGCTGCATGACCTGCTGTATGCGGGACACCACTCCAATGCTGGGAGGGATGTTCTTCTGAGTCTGGGCGATGGCGATGACAGCTTGAGGACCTAGCGTCGACACATTGTGGCCTTCGATCTCCAGGACCTGGTCCCCTGCCTGCAACCCTGCCAGGTGGGCACTGCTGCCTTCCTCCACTGACAAGATGTAGCTAGGTCCAGCCCCACCAAGGTGGAAGCCAAAATCCTCAGGCCAGCCCTGGTTGGATGTCGGCATGCTGAGGACTTTTAGAAACAGGGAGAAAAGGACAGTGAGGTTTGCTTCAATATGGAGTCTCGTGGTACTTAGAAATACTTACCCACTGTAGCCAGTGGATTCAAGTTCAGCGACATCGCAAGAAAACTCTATGATACAGTCTTTTGTTTTAAAGATATTCAGTTTGTTCTCTGTCTCCTTCCCTGTCTTAGCTGTACATCAAGTGTGGCTCTGTAACCCTCTATGCTGAACCATGACACACTCAGCAGTCCCTGACCTGGTTCATAAACTCTTTCACAGCCAATCAAATTAAAGCATTGAAAGATTGTGACCTTAATTAGCTCAGGAGACAGAAGTTCCTCTAGCTATTTTTTGCACTCAGAGCACATGCATGTCTCTCCTGTCGAACAGTAATTGAATGGAAAAGCAATAACGTGACAGAGCACACCACTGGCTGCATGGATGAACAGGTAAGAGGTTGAATTCCAGGTTAAATAACAGGATTATTTCCAACCAAATGGGAAAATAGCAGGAAATATAAGGCTTTCAGAACCACCTCTAATGGAACAAGTACAAATTTCACAGCAATGAATTGCTATACACACTGTAGCTCAGCTGTAGGCTAATGATGTGCTGCACAGCTTTCCAAAAGCCACAGCGCAGCAGAATTCACAGAGCTGACGAAGACGAAGGTTATAAAGACTTACAGAAATCTTTGGCTGGATACCGAGAGCCCCGTTTGCTCTGGCGGAAAGAGTATCTGCCCTTTTTGTTTTGCAAAAATTTCTTCATCTTGAATGTCAGATACCCGGTGGCCTGCTAGGAGGCTGTTATCCAGTCTTCTCAAGTGTAGTGTTTTTAAAAAAATAATATCCCCACCACCCACAACCCAAAGTCAAAGAGAAAAGGTGACAAACTCAAAATACTGCCCCATTCCTCCTCCCTGAAACCACAGCAGTCTCCTCATGAGCAAAGGGTGAGTGTGCATGAAAAGCAAGTGCAGTCTCTTCCTGTGAGTATGTCAAGGAGTTAGTCCTGCATCTCATCCCTGATTCATCCTAGGGCCAGCCTGCTTGCACAGTGTTAATCAGAAAACTGGGACGCGTGCACCCGCGCACCTCGGTTCCTTAATAATTCTCTCTCCAAAAAGGGTATTGTAAGGCCTCATTTTTCTATAAATACACCCATGTGTCTTTTCTTCCTCCCCCTCCTCTCTTGGCAAGGTGGCTCTCCGTGGGACCGCTCCTGGCCCAGAATCACTCTGCGTCGATGCGAGAAAGCCCGAGGAGCTCTAATTGGAGCGTCTGCATGCCTGTGATTCTCTGCGTACTCTGAAATGGTCGGTCCATTGATAAGGAGCGGGGGCAATTTAAGACTTTAGCCTGTGGGATTAGTGGGATTATCAGCTGAATCTGCTCTCCTCCACCCCCCTTGTTATTAATACTGTAGGAACACATGCTCCCCTCCCGTATTAGATATTTAGAGTGCCTCTAGTGAAGTTTATTTTAGCACTGTGCACACTTTTAGACGTGTATTTATGATGAAATAGGCTAAATGCTGCTCTAGTTCAATTCAATTCAATTGTATTTATATAGAGCCAGATCAGAGATGAAAACTAAAACTTAAAACTGAAAATTTATGGCGTCAGTGTGCTGATTAAAAATCAGCCCAGGTGGATTTATCAGCAGATATCAGCTATTTGCCAACATATCAATATCAACATCAAGAAGGAAAAACCCTTCAACCATGCTATGGGTGCTGATGTTGTGCTCTGCAACTTCCCTGTTGGCAACACATGTTTACCAGCAGAGTCGAGCAGAGCATGAAGATCTTGTTGTGACGGTAAAACATGACTATTTTTTAAACTGCAATGCTTTATCTTCTTAGTAAGGACTAATGAATCAATACACATAACAATTGCTAATCCATTTATGTATGTGCGTCTGAAAGAAAAAAAAACATATCGGCCAATATATCAGATTTTTTAAATCACCAAATGTTGGCTGGCATAGGTCTTAAAAATCCTATATCGAGCAGACTCTAAGCTGCACGTGTAACTATCTGCTTATATCCTTGAACTGAAGCTCACATCAAGTTTTACTTTTACAGTATTACACGTATTTTTTAACTGACATGCATAACAGCTGGAGAGGAAGCTGAGGAAGCGCGCAGGTGGGCTTATTGGAGTGTAAACTGTCATTAGTGCCAAAGCGCACAATAAGGAACAAACAGTTCAGTGCAAACTGAATAATTAAACACAAGTGACTGCATCTCCAAACACACTTTTCACTTCAATCAAACTCTCCTCTTACACTTACAGTCTTAAAGACGATTGAGTCGTCTATGACAAGATGCGTGACAGAAAAACTTTAAACCACCTGAAACAATTTATCTTTTGACAAAGAAAATTGTCATTTCAGGTATAAAGCTGTAATTTTGATTTCAAACTGTAACAGCAGATACGCTCGTGGCACTGTAACTTGATTTATCCGACATAAGAGACAATAAAAAATGATTAAGGCCCCCAGCACAGCACATCCAAACATTCAGTACCTGTTTAAGCAGCATTCGGAGATGAGCCTGCGCAGCTCCCGAGTAATGCTCCCCTCTGCAGCTCTGTGAGCTGTAATATGAGTGTTGGGCCATGTCCGCAACAGTATCCACTGACTGGTGTCCTGTGGTGCCTTGATGCATTGTGTGGAGGACTGGATTGCAGAGACAAACAGCAAACAGTTAATGATTTTATTCAGGCACCAAAGTCAAACACTATAGGCCTAAATTAACCTCGATGGCGGGTATCAGTCTATAATCAAACCAGATGACAGTAGCTGATATTTGTTTGTCATTGTCGGATCAATTTTTGAACAAAATACATGTTCAAAGCTAGTGTAATGAGGAGTTGAAAGACATTTCTTCATGTCTCTGGCACAAAGGGTGGGATAAAAGCATTGCTCACAGCACTGTAACTTGATTTATCTTATATAACAGTCAATAAAAGATGATTAAAGCACCAGCACAGCGCATCCAGGCATTCAATAAACAAAAGGAAGTTAACTGTTGTTATACTGAAATTATATATTTAAAATTCTCCTTTTTGAAGTTTGTGTGCTAACTTTTAGACAAACCCTTTTATGCTTCAATGCATGTTTTGAAGTCCCAAAAAAGAGAGAGAGAAAGTATAAAATACTCTAATTACTCACATGTATTTTGGACACAGGAAACAAAACATTACTGTTGATGCTATCTCACACTGGATTCCTCAGGTAGCAAAGCTCCAGACATCACCTCTCTCTTTCTTGAACTATAGAAACTGCAGGCAGAAATTCTCTCAATGAAATAGTGAATTAACCAGTAACACATTTAACAGTAAAATCAAGAGTAATGCATTTATAAAACACGTGTATTATTGGCTCTGGCAAAGGCCTCAAAACTTCCAGTTTATACACTGACCAGTCACTTCGTTAAGTACACCTTGGACACCCGTTTGCCTTCAGGGCTGCCTTCATTCTTTGTGGCACACATTCAATATTCCTCCCTTGACACTACACATGATCCAGCTAGAAGCAGCCATCGTAGAGAGATGCACATGGTTGGCAATAATACTCAGGTGGGATGTGGAATTTAAATTATGCTCATTTGGTAAAGGGGCCTAAAGTGTGCCAAAAAATGCCCCACACACCATTACACCAGCAGCAGCAGCCTGAACCATTAACACAAAGCAGGATGAATCCCTGCTTCATGGTTTTTACTCCAAATTCCAACCTTAACAATTACATGTCAAAGCAGGCTCCAGGCAACATTTTTCCAGTCTTCTGTCCACGTTTGGTGAGCCTGTGAGAATTCTAGCCTCAGTTTCTTGATCTTAGCTGAGATGGCACCTGGTGTGGTCGCTGCTGTAGCCCATTTTCTTCAAGTGTTGATGTCTTTTGAGTTTAGAGTAACTCTGTGATGAGTTATTTGAGTTTTTATTGCCTTCCTGTTAGCTTTTTCTTTGACATCTAGCATCAACAAGACATTTTCACCCAGAGAACTGATGCTCACTGGATATTGACTCTTTTTTGGTACCATCCTCTGGAAACCCTAGAGATGCTTGTGTGGGAAAATCACAGTCAACCAGCAGTTTCTGAAATGCTTGGACCAGCCTGTCCAGCCCCAACAGCAATGCCACATTCATAGTCACTTAAATCACCTTTCACCCTTTTCTGATGCTCAGTTTAGTGAACTTCAGCAGGTCGTCTTGGCTATGTCTGCATGGGTAAATGCACTGAGCTGCTGCCATAGGCTGATTTAACATCTGTGTTGACAATGTAGTAACCAGTGAGTGTATGTGGGTAGTGATGTGCATCATAGCTCTCTCTTCTTCTTCTTTTTTAAATAGAAGATGTTTAAGCAAAGTTTAGAAATGTCTGAAGCCTGTTTTAGATATTGCGATGGGGATGTAAACTGTCGAAAAATAACAGGATTTTCAATAAAAGAAAGAGCTGGCTGAATGCACTTGTCTTGCACACCTCCTTGTATGGCTATTAATACACGTTTATAACAGGAGACAGGGACTTAACGCAAAGTATACTTACAACTTTTAAAATTAATAATCCCCTCTCTTAATCAGCCGAAAAAAACCCAAAAAAACAAAACACACTGTTCATTTATTTCAGTGTAAAGTAAAAAGGAGTAGGACACATTTCCACTGTCCTCTCACAGCGGGGAGGCTTCGACGTTAGCCCAGCCCATTAGCGATGCTAAGGAAGTAGCATTGTTTACAGGGGCAGGACGTGAGCATGGAGCCAAAGTGAAACTAGAAGCCTCCTAAACCGACTCTGTTGACTTGAGACAAACACTAAAAGGCAGCTATGTGTAACCTCGACTAGATGGTAAGGTGAGAGCGAGCATGAAAATGGGTTTACAAGGAGAAGAAACGAAGACTTGGTTCAGTTTTGCTAACGCTGCTGTGTGGGCGCTGAGAGGTTTCAGCGGATGCTAACGTAACTTGTTCACCTGAGTCGTTTTTAAAGATCTTTAACGCGTTTAAAGGAAGTAACTATGACTAAGAATTAACTGTAACAAAGCCTAATTGTTTCTTTTTAAGCTTGCTACCTGCTGTCGGTGAGTTTGTACCGTAAACACCTGTTGTTTGCCTCTCTGCGATGCTGCCAGGTGAGATATGGATTTCCTGACGCTGTTTGGTATTTACGTCGTGGTGGTGCTCACATGCATAGCTCTAGTGTGCAGATACTCCGGCCAGCAACACAGCTCCCTTAATTCACTCTACAGCTTTGCATTAAAGGTAAGAAAAGAGCAGAAACGGGATGAGTATGAAGCTTTTCTTTTCATGCAATTCCAAAGACCGACACTCTGTGGCGCTGTTGTCTCAATATAAAGAAAACGTATCCACTTCACTTACAACTATGTGCTTTTTTTCACAGAGACTTGCATCGATTACTCCAAAGTGGCTGCAGAAGTTTTCACAGTGGACTTTGCACAGACTGTTCCATCAGAGGTTTGTAGTTCTCTCTTAGCGTTTACAGAGTTTAATGTTTATTTAAGGCTTGATTCAGTGTTATTTAAATTTGACTGCAGGAGCAACGTGTTCATATACCTGCACATCCTGCTGGAGGGCGCCGTGTATGCAGAGTTCACTTACGAGGTGTTTGGCTTCTGTAGGGAGATGGACACCACTCTGATCAGCCTATCTGTGCCTTATATCCTGTTGGCCATCAAGACCACCTTCTTCTACCTCTGCATCAAGACAGACCCAGGTTCATTTTAGTTTGACCACATCTTGTTTAAATGTGCGGTGGTGGTGTCAGCAATGGCAGTGTGTTATCTCACTTCTCTCCATCTGTCAGGCACAGTGACAAAGAAGAAAGTTGCCGGTCAGCTGCACATCTATTCGTACGATAGGAGGTTGTTTCACCCGGGAATCTCATGTTCGACTTGCCAGCTTGTCAAACCAGCCCGCTCGAAACACTGTAGTGAGTGCTTTTTAATTTGTCAATGTCAGCACCTGAGGTACTGGGAGAAAAAGAAAGCTAGCGTGTCTCAGTGCTGACTGTAACTCCTCCTGTGATTCAGGGGTCTGCAACAGGTGTGTGCAGCGTTTCGACCACCACTGCGTCTGGGTGAACAACTGCATTGGTGCTCAGAACACACGTTACTTCCTGCTTTACCTCTTCAGCGTCTGTGCCATGGCGTGCGACATCGCCCTGTTAACGGTGGACATGCTGCTTCATGTCGTGCTGCGCACAGGGCTCCTGGGGGCCAGTTACTTAGATGAGAACGGCCAACGGCAGCCAGCGGGATTTCTGTTTGTCGTGCAGGTACTGCT